ATACTGGGGGTGCCAGATGCTGTAGAGAAAAACAAAGCTGGGGTGGGTGTTGGGAGCTATTGCAATTTTCAAAGGTCTCATAGAGAAAGAAGGGGAGAGTTGAGGGAAACTTGAAGGAAGTGAGGGAATGAGCCATGGGGCCAGCGGAGTGAGTCCTGGTAGAGAGAAGAATCCACGTAGAACATTCCAGGCAGAGAGAAGAGCTGGAATGTGCTTGGTGTGTTCAAGGGACAGCAGGAGGCCAGCAGGGCTAGAGCAAAGGAAGAGGAGAGAGGCGGGTCGGGGGGGAGAGGGCAGAGGGGTCATGGGGCCGGTAGAGGTTGTGCAGGTCAGTGTAAAAACTTTGCTTTTACTGTGAGTGAGATGGGAGTGATGTCAGGGTTTTGACCAGAGGAGGGACACGATCTGATGTATTTAAAGCCTCCCTCTGGTTAGACTGGGAGGGAGCAAGGGTGAAATTGGAGAGAGACTGGGAAAGGAACAGGCCACTGATTATCCAGGTGTCAGCAGGACCTTCCTGGCCTTGAGGAGGGTGTTTGGGGTGAGGGAAGAGCGGACAGTCTGGGAAGGCCAGGATGGACGGCGTGTTACTGGGAGCACCCGGGGGCTGTGCGGGTCCTGGCCTGCACCTGACATGAACCCACCCACCACACCCTGCCTTGGGCAGTGTTGTGGCAGTGGCACAGTGAGCAGAGGGCACCCCCTGGGATGGCACAGGCCTGACCTGTGGTGTGTCAACCCCATCTCCTCCTGGGGCATGACCCCCCTACCCCCACTGATGCCCCTGGCCTTGGCTTGGGCTTGGAATTGCTGGGCTTGGAATCAGAAAGGTTTGGCCCTGACACTTTTCAGCTCTCTGAGCCTCAGTTTCCCCCTCTGGGAAGAGGACCAACTCAGGGTTTTCATGAGGCCTGTAGGGATGCACATGAAGTGCCTGCAGGATGCCCACACACAGTAGGCAGAAGGTGACTGCCTGCCGTCCCTCTCTGGCCAGGTCCGGTGGGCGGCAGATGGCCAAGGTGGTGCGGAACTTCTTGCAGGCCCAGCAGGTGCAGTCGCCCGTGGAGCTGTACTCAGACTGGCTCTCTGTGGGCCACGTGGATGAGTTCATGAGCTTTGTGCCCACCTCCGACCAAAAGGTGCGTCCCCTTCCCACCTGAGCCACCTCTGCCCCTGCCTGGCCTGATGGGATGAGCCAGGGCAAAGCTACCTGGAACCAGCTCAATCCTGAGTCCAGGGTGAGCTTTGGGTCGGGGCACCCTTGGGGCCATGTTAATCAGGGAAGGCTTCTTGGAGGAGGCCAGAGACTCAGGCCAGGAGGGCACTCATTTGCTCACTACTCAGACACTCATCCTCACACTTACTGGGTGTTTGCTTGGACCCAAGTCCCTCAGCCAAGAGCCAGGAATGACATTGATAACAATTGGTAATATTTGCTGAGCACCTACCATCTGCTAAACACTCCAGCTGTTTTAATTCATTTAACCTTCCAACAAGTCCATGAGGTGGGTGTTATTATTATTGCCCCCATTTTACAGGTGAGGAAACTGAGGCTCAGAGGGCCATTAACTCACCCAAGCTCACACAGCCTGCAGGTGGCAGGGTAGGACTCAAATCCAGATGTGGGCTCTGGGCCTCCACGTTCACCACTCAGCTCCACCGCCTTGCAGCGGTGACCAGGGAGGGCATGGCCCTCAGGCCACAAGCAGCCCAGGAGGTGAGGCCTCCCAGTGCCCAGTGGTTATAGCCCCGAACAGAGAGAGCTCTGCCAGGGGCAGGTACAGGGTGCAGTCGGAGTATCTGCAAAGCTCTCCCTCTGTCGGTGAAGGAGGAGACACTGCAAGTGGGTCTTGAAGTGAGAAATCGGAGTTCCCTCCACCGCCTTGCAGCGGTGACCAGGGAGGGCATGGCCCTCAGGCCACAAGCAGCCCAGGAGGTGAGGCCTCCCAGTGCCCAGTGGTTATAGCCCCGAACAGAGAGAGCTCTGCCAGGGGCAGGTACAGGGTGCAGTCGGAGTATCTGCAAAGCTCTCCCTCTGTCGGTGAAGGAGGAGACACTGCAAGTGGGTCTTGAAGTGAGAAATCGGAGTTCCCTGATGGGCAAAGTGCGGAAGGGCCTGCAGGCAGGGAGAGCAGCAGGGACAGAGGCCCAGGGGTGGGAACCGGCTTGGAGGACCGAGAGAATCACAGCAGTTCTCTGTGGCTTGTGGGTTGAGAGGAGAGCGGAGTCCTGGGCATGACCCAGCTCTTGAATTCAGGCCCCTCCTGAGTCTGGGGTCTCCTGCATATCAGGGGGACCTTTCCACTGAGCCATTTTCCCTCCCTCTGTGCCAGGGCTTCCGGCTGCTCCTGGCCAGCCCCAGCGCTTGCCTCAAACTCTTCCAAGAGAAGAGAAAGGAGGGTTACGGGGAGGCGGCCCAGTTTGATGGTGAGTGCCAATGACCCGGTCACCCCTCGGGGACCCTGCCCTGTCATCACCAGCCCCGGGCACGGCGGATGCCTTTTGTGGCTGGGCCCTTGGGTACAGCCCCTCCATCTGCAGATCTCTCGGCTGGCTCAGAGCCCGACACCCCATGAGGGGGTTAAGACAAGGGCTCTCCCCTTCTTGGGAAGCCAAGCGTTCAACGGATTGCTGCAGGCCCTCTGATGGGTGGGCTGCTTCCTGGGCCATGCCCCAAAAGAGGAGAGGAACACGAAGCCATGAGCGCCAACATGCCAGACTGTGCCAGGCATGTTCACGTTCTGGCCCACCTGATCTCCCATCCCTCTTCTTTATTCCTTCTCACAGAGGAGGAAACTGAGGCTCAGAGAGGAGAAGTGATTTGCCCAGAGCTATGCGGCCAGGGAGAAGCAGGGCTGGGGTCTCGGCGTGGGAGGAGAAGCCAGGTGTGGTGGCCAGGGACCCTCGGCGGGACCTCCTTTGGGAACTGACAGACCCCTCCCTGCCACAGGCCTCAGTGTTGCCACCTGAGGAATAAGCACTGGAAGGGATATGGTGCAGTCTTCCAAATGGATAGACCTGGGCTCAAACCCTGGTCTTGCCACTTGCTGGCTGTGGGATCAGCCAAGGGTGTGTTCTGAACCTCTCAGTGCCTCAGTTTCCTCTTCTCTGAATTGGAGGTGATAATTAACCCCTTCTAGAATTGTTTTAAAGATGAATAATAAATTAAGCAGGGTTCCCAGAGCATGGTGGGTGTTCAGTAATGGTAGCTGTACCATAATTATTAGGCCCTGAGTTCGGGAGTCCCTTCCCAAGGGGTTTTTGATCCATCACTGGGTTTTACCTGCAGCCAGAGCCTGCTCCCATCAGGGTTTCCAGTCTCTGGCTTTCTCCATCCCAGCTTCAGACCTTGGCACTGAGGTGGAAGGAAAACCCTGGCCTGGATTATGCAGCCCCAGGCCCGAGGTGGCCCCCAGGCAGTACTCCCTGGGCCCATGTACTGTCTTTCTCTTGCAGGGTTAAGACACAAGGCAAAGAGAACCATTAACGAGATGCTGGCGGACAGACGCCTTCAGAATGACAGTCTCCATGTACAGGTGAGGGGCAGGACCATCGGCTGCTCTAAGGGGTCCTCCACCTTCCAGGGAGAAGCAGCCCCAGGAGCTGCTGGGGTGGGTGGGAGATTCTACCCTGGGCCTCTGATTGCCCTGGGGCTGCTGGGACATGTGGGTAGGACAGAGCCTCTGCCTTCGGGAACCCACAATCTGATGGAAGAAACAGAGCCATTCCCTCAGTGAGCTCCCAGTCTGATGAGGGAGACCTGGCCCTGCTCTGGGGAGGTGATTCATTTCTATAGAAGCAAGTCTGAGTTCTCATCCTAAAAGTCTGGTGAAATGAGAGAGACGTGGTAGAGAAATGGGCCCCCGTGGGGATGAGGGGTAGGGTGGATGGGAGTTAGGGGGATCCAGAGAGGAGAGCAGGTGGAACGGGGTCTCAGGAAGGGACAGGCTTTGCCCCAAGGATAGCACCTGCCACATGCATGGTGCAGGGCCTGGCACAGAGTTGGTGCTCAGTAAATGGAACGAGGCCCTTTTGTCCTCCCCAGTGGTGCCCAGCACTTTCCCCTAAACTGCTGAGATGGGGCAGGAGCATAAGCCTCGCTGTAGCTATGGCTGGGACTGTGTGTTGTAGTGACAAGGACTTTTGGAAACAGAAACTGCCTGGGTTCAAACCCCAGCTCTGTTGCTTCCTAGCTCTATGTCATTGGGCTGGTCACTTGAGCCTCAGTTTCCCCATCTAGGAATAGCAATGGCTCCTATTGCACTAATCTGTTGTAAGGCTCAAAGGAGCTAGAGGGCACAGAGGGCTCTGCACGGGCCCAGCAGCACACAGTAGGCACTTGGCCAGCATTAGATCCTTCCTTGTCCTGGGTGGGCCACTGCCTCTCCTCCCGCCCCCAGAAATGCATCGACTGGAACCGTGATGTGCTGAAGCGGGAGCTGGGCCTGGCCGAGAGGGACATCGTGGACATCCCCCAGCTCTTCTCCATGAAGGGTGCCTACGCAGAAGCCTTCTTCCCCGACATGGTGAGAGTCTCTTGGGCAGGGTCCTGCTGGGGGTCCCCTGGGGTCACAGGAGAAGCACTCCCTGTCCAAGGGCAGGGCCTGTGGACCTCCCCAGTGTTTGTTTTGTGCACATAGGATGAACATTTCCATCAGTGGTCCTCAACCAGGGGTGATTTTGCCCCCTGGGGTACTTATTGCCACAGGGAGGTGGGTGCTGCTGGCATCCAGGGGGCAGAGGCCAGGGTGTTGCTAAACACCCTACAGTGCACAGGACAGACCCCCCAACCAAGGGCTCTTATGTTTTTTCACCCAAATGGAAAAAGAAAGTATAGTTTAGTTGCAGATGTTTGAGGCTTCTGTGTCTGGGCCTCAGCTGCCTGCTCTATCCCCAACCCTGGCCCGCTTGCTGCTCTCTGGGGGTGGGGGTGGGGGGGGCTCCTGAATCAGGCAGGTGCAGCAGGCGGTGTCCTCTTGGGCTGTCATTAACTAGGCAGCTGACAGGCAGATGAGCAGATATGATCTCACCTGCGTGTCACCTGGGAGGGGCCTTTGCGATGCTATCACTGCAGGCCTGGCCAAGGTGCCCATTATCCCCCTGGGAAAAGATGTTGGGGTAGACTCTCCCTCTTCAGATGGGGTCTTTAGCTTGAATCCCTCTCGTGGGACAAGCCAAGGGTTGGAAGTGAATCCTGGGATCAGGTGTGGAGGACATGCATTTGTTTCCAGCTTCTCTCTGTGGGATTCCAACCTCTAGATCCTGGTAGGGACCGTGAGAGCAAGATCTCTCAACTCTGTAGCTCTATTGCTATTTGGGGCTGTAGAAACCTCTGTTGCAGTGCTGTCCTGTACACTGTCAGATGTTTAGAGGCATCCCTGGCCTCTACCCTCTAGAGGCCAGTAGTACCTCCCCAGCGTGACAATCAAAAATGCCCTGGGGAACAAAATTGCCCCTGATTGAGAATCACTGCTCAAAGGCAGCGTTGTCTGTTAGAATTTTCTTTGATAATGAAAATGTTCTGTACCTACACAATACAGTATGGTAACCACTGAGCCGCATGTGACTACAGGTCACTTGAAATGTGGCTAATGTGGATGAAGAACAGACATTTTAATTTTATTTCAATTTAATTTTAATTTAGATCGCCACGTGTGCCTAGTGGCTGCTATACTAGAGGGCAAAGCTCTAAGGGACTACCTGGCTCTGGTTCCGACTGGGAGTGGAAGACGGGCCTAGGCTGGAGCCCGTGACCTCAGTCAGCTCTCCTTAGGCTGTGGCCTGGCCGCCACCTGCTGGAAGCCCCCTCCCCAGCACACACCCCATCCATGGGAATTTCTTAGCTTCAGTCCAGGCTCTGCTAAAAGATCCCAGTATGCCCTCACTAGAAGAGCCCTTAGGGAACATTCGGTTATCCCCCACATCTGTCAGATGGGGAAACTGAGGCCCTCATAAGGAGAGTGGGTGATTGCCTGAGGTTACACAGTGAGTGAGTGGCAGAGCTGGGACCAGCCCCCAACCTCCTGACTCCTCATTCGGGAGGAAGCAGAGGCCCAGCTGGTTGTGGTCCTGAGTCCGGCTCCTGCTCCTCTCCCTGCCCTGGTCCCCCTGCATGCCCCACCCCCACCCCAGCATGCCCTGACCCATTAGTGGGCAACTAGGTAGTTCAGGGCCAAGGCCATGGGACTGAGCCCATGGGACCCTCCTGCTTCATGTTGGTCCTGGCCATGGACAGTCCTGTGGGGCAGACTTGAGGGTGGGGGTCAGGGAACAGAGAGTTTGAGGACACAGCGTCCAAGACAGCTCACTCAACGCCAAGACTATCCAGGACCACCTTCTATATAGCAGGTCCAGGGCAGCTCCTTATGACCTCTTGCCATCCATCTGAGGCTGAGATTTCCTCTAAGAAACCTCTGTACCCCTGCATCAAGAGGAATCCCCTTTTCCAGCATTAGGGCACCGAGCCCAGGTCTACAACCAAGGGAAGCAGAGGTGCCATTGGAGATACACTCAGGTGTCCCCACGGGCTCCCAGCCCCTTCCCAACTCCTCAACCCCACAGGTGGCCAGAGTGCGACACTCTGGCAAGGTGTAAAGAGCATGGGGTTTGGCGTGAGTCAGATCCAAGTTCAAATTTTAGTCTTACCATTCTCTAGCCGTGTGGCCTTGATTGTGTTACTTAACCTGTCCAAGTTGCAGCCTTAAAGGGAGACTGTGAGATTTAGTGATGATATATCTAGCACATAGAAGATGTTCAATAAATGGTAACAATTATCAAGGCTGTCAAGGACAGTTGAGCAAGCTGCGTACTGAACAAGCACACCACACTTGTGAAGACATTCACACTGCAGGCCTCGGAGATGTGCATATTTGTTGTATAAATTTCCAGCAGATGACAGTAAAATCTCTTATTCTAACAAAATTGTTATTATGACAATTTTGTGACAAATGGAAGAAAATATTGATTGGAGGAAGGGGCGATTTGATTCATACGAAGTTACTGTGTATGTTACTGACAGCCCTGGCTGTTGTTAATTCTCTTTCCGATGGCAAATCGGTTTCTGGGTTACTGTGTATGTTACTGACAGCCCTGGCTGTTGTTAATTCTCTTTCCGATGGCAAATCGGCTGTTGTTAATTCTCTTTCCGATGGCAAATCGGTTTCTGGCGAATCTGTTTCTTCTCTATTTTCATAGATCCCAGCTCTTGAGCAAGTCTCAGTCCTGGTGGCCCAGGACTGCTGGGGAGGATGGACAGGCCCTGCGGATGGGTTGGCAGTAGCCAGAGCCCACAAGGGGCCCCGTGTATAGAACATTTACAATCCAGCCTCCGTCTTGCCTTCTCTCTTTTGTAGGTCAACATGGTGGTCTTGGGCAAGTACCTGGGCATCCCCAAGCCCTTCGGGCCCATCATCAACGGCCGCTGCTGCCTGGAGGACAAGGTGCGGTCCCTGCTGGAGCCGCTGGGCCTCCACTGTGTCTTCATTGATGATTACTTGTTCTACCACGAGCTGCTTGGGGAGATCCACTGCGGCACCAACGTGCGCCGGAAGCCTTTTCCCTTCAAGTGGTGGAACATGGTGCACTGAGCCGGCTCCCAGCCACCGTCCTCTCTGCCCTCCTACTGGGGAACCCCGCCAGAGTGAGGGAAAGGAACATCCTCCTGGGCTCCACCCTCTCGAGGGAGCCTTGGCACTCCCCCCACCTCCCAGTGCCTGCAAACGTGCCGGCCACTGTGGGCACCGGGACACAGGGATCGATGTCACCCATCCTCACCCAAGAAGGATTGACCTCATTCTTCCCTCTCCTCTTCCTACCCACGGTCCCCAGAGGTTCTGGAAACAGTCACAGCCTTAGCAAGTTGAAGAATGGCTGTGAGTGGCCTTGGTGGGCAGACGCCACTTCCTCTCTCCTGAGGCCTCCCTGGAGCATGAGGATGCTGGCTTTGTGTCTGCACCAGGAATGGGGCCTGGTGGCCTGGGCCATGTGTGAGGGCCCAAGTTCCAGGCTGCCTCTGGCTCTCGTAGACACTAGGAAGGGGGATCAGAGACACCTTCTTTCCTCTACCAGCTACCTTCTCCCAAAGGGGACCCCAGGCTGTGACCCTTAGCACCCTTCAGCTGTATGTAGCCAAACAAAGACAGGAAAACCCAGCATCCGAGGGCCTATTTTAAAAAGAAAAAAAAAAAAAAAGCAACAAAAACCCTTTAATACCTGACTTGGTCCTCAGAAGCGTGCTTGTTACCTGCTTGGAAAGGCTTTAATTATGAGAGCTGGCTGCTTCCGGCTTGAAAATGCTGAGAGGCCAATGTGAGGCCTGAGGACACACAGAGGACGACTGGGCAGGAGGGGACAAGGTCAGGATGGCAGAGAAGGCTGAATGCACACCGCTGGATCTCAGGGCCTAGGGGCTTCTGTGTCCCGGGCTTCCTGGGCTCTGGAATTTGGACTCTGGGTTTGAAGGAAGCAGGCTGTTCCAGATGTAGCAGGGGGGGGCCCAGATGTTGGAGGGGGACCATTAGGTTATCTCTGAAGGTGGGGTTTAATTTCCTTTAATAGTCTTTAATTAGTCCCCTTCCTTCTGCAGGCGGTGGGAGGGGAAGGCTCGCCTGGTCAATCCCAGAAGCCTGGGGACCCTGAACGTAGTTTGGGTTTCACCTGTGAGTAAACCCCCATGGCAGGCCCGTGTCCCCTCCCACAGCAGGGAAGACAGAGCTGCCATGGGAGGTTAATAGCCCTGGGTGAGGTCACCAGGACAAACACAAGCAGATAGGCTTGGCTGGACTGCAGCCCTGGGCAGGAGGGAGCCAGCCTGCCTTCCTTCCCCCACTGCCTGTGGGGTCATCCTGGGGCTGTTGGCACCTGGGCCTCTGCCTATCTGGGTTTTTGGTGGCCTCTGGTGAGACCTCAGATTGAACCAGCCACTGTCACTCTTTTAGCCATGGGACACTTAGCAAACAAAGGCTTACATGGAACTTCTATGGTTAAAGGGGGTGGGTGGAAACCTGGATCTCCCCTTTCAGAAGGTTCTGGGGACCTCATTTGTCAGCTCCTGCTCTAACCTGAGCGCCCTCTGCTTATGTTAATGGCTCTGCCAAGGAAGAGATGGAAACTCTGCTGGGGTTGGGATTCCCCAGGTAGAGGGCTGCGGGAGGGAGGGGAGCAGGACTGCAGAGAGAGCAAGCCTTCCAGAGCCACGCTGAGTGTGGGAAGCTCTGGAGTTGCTGCTGGGGCCGTTGGAGGGCCCTGGTGTCCACTTTGAGAATGTTCTGGGTGACCAGTCACCTCCTTTCTGATCAATAAAAATGTCAGCATGCATTTCTTCAAGCAGCTGCCTCCTTAGCCTCTGTTGGGTTGTGGGGACAAGGGGCTGGATACGGGGGGGCCCTGCTTCCGGCTTGTCCCACCAAGCCACTAGCTCCTTGGCTCAGCTTCCACAAGACACAGCAGCTCCTGCCTGGCTAGGAGAGCCCTCTCGTACCAAGGCCAGTGCCTGGCAGGCAGGGTGACTGGCACATGCCTGTTGCCTTGGGGCCAGCTGCCCTGCTGAGATGGAGATCGGGGAGGCACAGGTCCCACCTGTTCCTCTCTTCTCCCTTCCCTGGACCATCTGCTCCATGAATTAAGGAAGTTGAAGAGGGGTCAGGGGGAGGCGGGCTGGGCCCTGTTGGTAGAGGTGGGAGATTCACCAGCAGGACTGGTGCCCAGAGCCACAGGCCACTACAATCCCCTTTTATTTCTGCCTCTAAAGCTTCTAAGTTACCCAGCCTCAGTGGTTTGATTTCAGGGGCCTGAAAACATCACCCCTTTCGTCCTATACACTCACTGCTGCCCCAGTTACCTCCTTTGACACTCACCCAATTTATTTTAGCTTTTGTTATGGACTAAGGGGCAAACAGTCACTGCCCATCAGTCATTGACACTTTAGTCTAAATGAACCACAGACCTGTTTCTAAAAGCTGATGTTCACCAGGGAGAAATGAAGACTTGGGTCTACTTCCAAAGAGATAAAGGGCTCTGAGCAGGAGGCAGGTCCTGCCCCTAGCACAGGGGGCCAGCACCCCCAGGGGAAGCCTCTACGTTCTGCATCTATTTGCCAACTGTGCTCACAGCAGGCTAGGGAGACTTCTGAGGCTTCCTCCTGAGCTCTAACTCTTACCCAGAGCTGAGTTGGCCACCAAGCCATTTTATAGCTGAAGGAAGTGAAGCTATTACTGGACCCAGCGGCCCTGCAGCTCTCCATGGAAAGAATGACCTTCCTAGAAACTGGAATATAGGAGTGACAGTCTTAGGACCCTACTGAGATCCTTGAACTGGTGCATATGCACCAGTTGGGGCTCTGGGGAGCAGGTCCAGGTCCCCGCCCTGTCTCAGACTGTCAGTGCCACCAGGGAGGACGGAGAAAACCTCTACTCAGCATCTTCTGAGCCTCCGCCAGATAGGGTGCATCCCGGCTATTATCTCTGCCAGGGCTGGTGATTAGCCACATTTTCTACAGATGAGGAAACCGAGGTTTCGAGAGAGGGGCCGTAAACCCCAAAGGCCACCTTGCTGGTGCGTGGTGGGGCCTGGATCCAAACCCGAGACTCCTTTCCCCAGAGTCCTTGCTCCTGCTGTTCCAGGTGCCTGAATGTCCCCACTGGCCTCAGTTTCCCCACCTGACAAGCAAACCTTCCTAGTCTGACATTCTAAGCTTGCCCTGGCTGGAAAGGGTTTTCACCCTCATCATTTACCCCATTTCAGAGGTTTTTGGCATCCGATATTAATAACAACAATAGTAATAAAATAATGCCAAGCTCCATACTAGAGCTGTACCAACGCTGGCCCGTTTAAACCTCATAGCAGCCATTTTTCAGATGGGAAAAGTGAGGCACAGAGAATTAAGTGACTTGCCCAAGGTCACATAGCCAGAAAGTGGCTGAGGCAGGGCTGAAACCCAGTCTTGCCTCTAAAATCCATGCTCTTAAGAAAGAGGCTGGTGTGTCTTGAAGTGCATCAGAATGCTTTGGGGTGCTTATAAAAAACCTGTATGCCATGCTGCACCCCTAATGTGCTAAATCAGATTGGATGCTGGGCCCACAAGTCTGCATTTCCATCAGCTCCCCTGGCAGAGTACAGAAGCTCCCCACTAAACTATAGTGTCTTTGAAAATGCAGAAAAAGGGGGCGAGGGGACCAGGAAGCATCTAAGAGCGATACCACACATCTCTGAATGCTCTCGTCCCCTGCCCCCAATAGTCCCTGGTGCCCTGGCCAGGCACCTGTGGGAACTTGCTCCCCTTAGAGTGAGAAAATTAACTCCCTGGGTGCCTGGGTGGGGGCAACAAATTCATATGCAAATATTGAGTCCCTTCTAGCCAATCCTGAGCTCTCAGCTCTGGGAAGGAGCTGGGCTTTTAGAACTAGAGCCAATGAGCTAGCACCCTGGGCTGGAGGGGCAGGGCCAAGGACTTTTAAATCACTTTCCAAGGGGCCTCTGGGGCAGTGTTGGGTTGGTGACTATCGCCTAGTCCAAGCAGAGCATGCCCCTGCAAAGGATCGTGCGTGTGTCCCTGGAGCATCCCACCAGTGCCGTGTGTGTGGCTGGCATAGAGACCCTTGTGGACATTTATGGGTAAGAGCCAGAGGCCCGGGGGTTTGTGGGCCCTTGGTGTTAAGCCTCTCGGGCCTTCCTCCCTGCAAGCTGGGCAGGGCTTCCTCAGGGCTCAGGCCTGGCTTGGCTGCCCATTCCCCAGCCTTGTCCTTGGAATAGCAGCCAGTCAGGGGAGCTTGGGTCCTCACCTTTCTCAGATGGGTTTCTTTAAGACCCCAGCCAGGGGACTTAAAGTGTCAGAGGCTGAGGGAGCGGGTAGAAGAGGATTGCAGTGGATGAGCCAGTTTCAGGGCTTGGAGGGTACTGGCGTCGGGGGGCTGGTCACTTTTCCCTGCCCAGAGGATCCTGCAGGCTGGGCTGGGGGTCGGTCTGGAACACACAGATTAGGAAGAGGGATACATCCTCACCCCCATCCCAAGCCTATGAGCCTGAAATCAATGTCAGTCATTTTTAAAAAATCACTTGTGCTTACATAACACTATGTGCAGGCACTGGCTGGGCTGGGGGTCGGTCTGGAACACACAGATTAGGAAGAGGGATACATCCTCACCCCCATCTCAAGCCTATGAGCCTGAAATCAATGTCAGTCATTTTTAAAAAATCACTTGTGCTTACATAACACTATGTGCAGGCACTGTTTTAAGAAATTGACAAGCCTCTTGATTTTAACCCTTACGACAACCCAGTGATCTAGGTTCATTATCAGCATCGTCTCGTTTTACAGACAAGAAAAGTGAGGCACAGAGAGGGCATTTGCTCAAGTCACACAGCTACTCAGTGACAAAGCCAGAACTGAAACCCACTCATGGTCTTTCTCGAGGCTCCTGTGCTTTTGGCTGCTCTGCCACTTGAGGTGGAGGGATTCTTGGATCTGGTTTCCTCTAGCTGTTCAACACCCATGCATTATGCCCCTACTGTGTGCAAGGTTCTGGCTTTAAGGCTCATGGTGTCAGGAGTAGGGCCCCACCTTCTCTCTCTCCTAGGAAGAAAAGGAGGG